AGATACACATCAGACAAGATCCCAAGCCATAACTACTCTGTGTTTGTTGTCTTAGGTGGCTGTGGGTGACTGTCACTTTGTGTGTGGCTGTCCCACCCATGGGGCAGGTCTGTGCACAATCACACTGTGGGCACTGAGGAGGAACCGAGTGCAGGGAGGAGCGGGATGGAGCACGGGAAAATCCCTGCTCCCAGCTCTGTGGGGTGGTGTGGCCCCAGCACAAACATTCAGGGTTGGTCCCTTTACAAGCAAATCCCTTACTGTCTGTTCCCCTGCAGCAGCACAGAGATTAATTGCTGTTTGTGAAGCTCTAATTACTCTTTGGGAAATGGCTTTGCACAGCTCCAGCTGATGAATGTGGGATGTGCAAGCCCAGGCTCGCCTGGGTCTGTGCCGCACTGCGATTCCAAGCGACTCCCTGCACCCGTGGGGCTCTAATCTGCCTCCCCTTCTCTCTCCTCTTCCAGACTCTCTCTGTCTCCATGCTGCTGCGCTACTCACACCATCAGATCTTTGTCTTCATTGGTAAGCACTGGCTGAGGGGTTTGGGTTGTGCTGGGCACTGTGCCTGCTCCAGCACAGGGTGTTGTACAGTCACAGCAGCTTTGGGTTGGAAGGACCTTGAGGATCATTAGTTCTAGTTCAGAAGAGTCTTACCTGTAGCTGCATGGGGAGTACATCTTTTTGCTTCCAGTCACTTCACTTGCCAGGGCTTATTCTCTTGTCCTGAGAAGTATTGGATGGGGACAGAGAATGTGGCTGCACTCAGCAAAGTGTGGAGTGGAGGGTTCTGTGGCCCTCCATCCTCTCCGTGCCTCAGTGTGTTTTTCCTCTTGCAGTTGACCTGTTACAGATGCTGGAGATGAACATGACCATTGCATTCCCTGCTGCTCCACTCCTCACTGTCATCCTGGCTCTGGTCGGTAAGGACTTGCTTCAGTGCTTGTGTCTGCAGCATGTCCCTCTGGGCTCTGTGGGAAGTCTCATTCCCTGTTCCAAGCTGGCCGCAGCAGGTGGTTACAGTGGCTGCTCATCACAAGGCAGAAGGCTCTGGAATTTGATGGCACAGTGAGCTCCATTGTCCTTCTGGGTCCCCTGGAAAAGCAGCAGTTTGTTGGGAAATCCCAGAATCCAAAGCTTTGTCTGTCCCTGGAGCTCGTTGCAGACTTGCACTGTGTGGCCACGTTGCATTTGTACAATTTTAATTTAAAAAGCAGCAAAATCTCCCAAAATCTGTGCTGTGGGATGCAGCTGATCATGGGATGTGGCAGACAGAGCATTCTTGGCCGTATCTGCTACCATAAGCAGAGCCCAGTTACCTGCCCTGGGCAGGTGCAGTCACAGGCCTGCTCCGAGGTGACAGAGGACCCTTCCCATGCCCTGCCACGTGCTGATGTCCCCTCTGTCCCCAGGTATGGAGGCCATAATGTCTGAGTTCTTCAATGACACCACAACTGCTTTCTACATCATCCTCATCGTGTGGCTGGCAGACCAGTACGATGCCATCTGCTGCCACACCAACACCAGCAAGAGGCACTGGCTCAGGTAAGGGCTGGCTGTGGCCACATTCCCTCTGCCTGTCCTCCCCAGCCGCTCTGAGTCCTTCCCAGCACCCCAGGCACAGCAGCCTCCACTCCTAAGGGTGTTATTTGTGTGGCTGCTTGGGGGCTGCCCCACACATCACAGGGTCCAAAGTGCAATTCTTCCAGTTGGGGTTTGGGCCTGGATCTTGGAATCACCTTGATCTTCCCCAGCCTCTTATTTCATCCTGTTCATAGGCAGGCAGCTCTAATTATCTGTTAATGAGTCTGTGTCACCCCCTGTGAAGTGCCCCAGCTTAGGCTGGTGATGGGAGGAGAAGGGAGCTCATCTTTCTCCTGGTTTTTCTTCTTGTCCAGATTCTTCTACTTGTACCACTTTGCCTTCTACGCCTACCACTACCGCTTCAACGGGCAGTACAGCAGCCTGGCACTTGTCACCTCCTGGCTCTTCATCCAGGTGAGCTCCTGCAGGGCTGCTGCACCTTGGGGGGCTTTGTCAAACTTCTTCTCAAGCTAGCTTGGAGGGAGGAGGGATCTTTATTTCAGTAAGAGATGGAATGAAGCCTGATTTGGAAATGGAGCAGCAAAATGAGGCTGTGGTAGAGGGGAGGTTTGAATTGCTGCCTCCAGTCCAGCCATGGGACTGACAATAACCTGATGCCACGTGGGTGTTGGGAAGGATTGCTGTCCTGTCCTTCTGGAATAAATGCTGGGGAGGGTCTGCCTTGCAGAGGAGCTGTTCAGGTCTGTGCAGTGAGAATACTGGCAAGACCAGCTACAAGCTTATGTCTGATATCCTGGATTAGGCATACCTGTTGGGTGTCTTTGGTTGTTGACCTGCTGCAGGGTGGGGACAGAGAATAGAGGATGGGCCAGAGGAATGCTGTCATCCTTCTTTTCTCAGCCTTTGAAAGGGAAGAGGGGTTGTACTCTGTTGCCTGCCTTCAGAGAGAAACTATAAAGCAGCTTGCAATAGTCATAGTGGAAGGGATAAATCTTTCCAAACTTGCTGCTGACCTTCTGGGTGTCATAGCAGCAGGATTTTTCAGAAGTTTGGTTTTCTTGGGATATCATGACCTGTGACCCAGGCCCTGGGTGACACCTTTCCCTTCCCTCCACCAGCACTCGATGATTTACTTCTTCCACCACTACGAGCTGCCAGCCATCCTGCAGCAGATCCGGATCCAGGAGATGCTTCTGCAGAACCAGCAGGTGGGGCAGGGCACCCAGACCACGCTGCAGGACAACCTCAACAACAACACCACGGCTGCCCCAGTGGAGGCGGGGGGCCGCCGAGCCCCGCTGGCCGGGGGGCCCCTCGGGGAGGGCAGCGGCCCGGCCGCCCTGAGCCCCGGCGAGGCCTCCAGCGTCATCGCCGCCGCCGCCTCCGTGGGCACCGACCTGAACTGGGTGGCCGAGACGGCCGCCATCATGACGGAGGCCTCGTTTCTGTCTGACCTGAGCACGACCCTGCTGGAGCCCGCCGTGGTGCACGAAGCCATGGCCAACGGGACCCCTCAGGAGGCGGCCACGGCCTCCGGGTTGGTCGCCCGCATCAGGGTCAGCAGCGACCACCCGGAGACGGCCATGGGCTCCATCACCATCGAGGTCACCTCGACGTCCGTGGTGGCTGCAGCAGATGCTTCCCCCGCTGCTGGGGCTGCCCCCCTTGCCCCGCTGCAGGAGGAGGTGGTCCCCAGCCCCTCCCTTCCCAAACAGACTGAGGCTCTCGAGGGCTCAAACAGCCGAGTGAAACCCAGTGGCAAAAACTGCACGGGCAGCAGCAGCGTGGCAGAGCCCCTGCCAGCCTTGCGGGGGGACAGTGACCAGGACAGAGGTCTGGAGGACCGGGGGGAGAGCAGCCCCTGCCCAGCACCAGCAGAGAGAACGCCCAGCTCAGAGCCAAGCTCCAGGAACCTGTCCTGAGCCCTGTTGCTGTCACTCTGGACTGCCAAGAAGGCGTTTGGATTTTGTTTGTTACTATTTCTCACTTCACCATCATCCTTAACCCATGGATCCCTCTGAGCAGAGCCGGAGCAGCTGGGACAGAGCAGGGCTGCTGTGACCTCCCTCCCCTAGGAAAGGCACTGGGGGGCTGTGGGAAGGATGGGGGATTTTGATTCCCTGGCCCACATGGCTCCAGGGCTCCTCTGAGGCCACAGGTGAGCCAGGTACCTGTTCCTACCCTGTCCTGCTCGTGCCCTGGCTTTTCCTTGTCCCCCAGTCCCTGGCTTTGCCCCTGCAACTGTGTTTGCAGTCCGGGTGCTGATCCCAGGTGGGAGCTGATCTGGGACAGGCCACAGGCGTGGCAGCTTTGTGGTTTGAGTAGGAGTGGATAGAACAGGCAGCGTCCAGCCCCTCTGGGAGAGCCACAGAGGCAATTCATGGTCACCTTTCCTGCTCCTGAGGGGAGGAGGAGCTTTTACCTTCCCCAGGCACAAAGTCTGCTCAGGCTAGGGCACAACCAAAGCAGAAAGCTGCAGTTCAGCCCCTTTTGTCTGTCCTTAAACTTCCCTTGGTGGTTGGTTGGGAGGTGGAAGGTGCTGTGTCCAGGTGGGAGCTGCCATCCCAGGAGCCATGAGCGATGCTTGGAGGGAGCTGTGTTGCAGTGGGTGATTGGAGAGCTGTGGGGTGAGGGCAGCAGCTCTGTCCTGCACAGCTCTGCTCTGGCTGGGGCAGCTGCTTTCCAGTGCCTTGTCCCTCCTGGGGGACATGTCTGTGTTAGGATCAGCCCCATCCCAGAGGAGAGAGTGGCTCCTCATGCCTGGATTGGTGCATGAGCTGGTTTAGCAAAGAACCAAAACACTAAAGCCAAGACATTTCAGCTGGTTTTCCCACGTTTCCCTGGCAGTAGAGGTGAGGCTGGCAGAGCCTAACCTCTGCCAAGAGGCTGTGCTGGGGGGCTGCCTGTGGACCCCTGCAGAGGGGCCAGATCCGTGCCAGGAGGTGCTGGAAGGAGGGTTTGTACAGGGAGTGGAGCAGAGTGAGGCAGGATGAAGCTCTGGGAGAGCCATGGTGGGACAGGGCAGGGATGGGAGGTGACACGTGGGCACTTCAGCTCTTGGGGACAGCTGGGTCCCTGCGCAGATGTCCCGAGTTCAGTGTTCTCCCCTATGGCTGAGCAGTGTCTGGAGTCCATCCCCTTGGAGGGCTCCGTGCGTTTCAGTGTTACCTTATCCACACAGGGGGGCTCAGAGCCCCCTCCTCACCCCTCTGCCTTTCCCACCTGCGTGCCCCCTTTTTATTTTTCCTTTTTACCTGGGGCAGCCGTGGTGCTGCTCGGGGGGACCCTGCTGTGACCAGCAGGTCAAATCTTGCTGCTGCCAGCGCTCCTGAGAAGGGGCCTTGTGGCCAGCTGGCTCCCAGCCTCTGGAGTGCCAAGAATGACCGTAGGCTTTTCAGAGGAGGGGTGGGAGGGCAAGGGGGGACACCAAACCAAATGATTTGTTGAATGAAGAGTAGAGTTCATTCTATTTAATTAATGTACAAAATGTGTTTGTATATAATAATAAATATTATCTCTTAACAGCTCCTGCAGCGCTGCCCCATGTCCTGCCCCCTGTGCTGGGCTGATGTGTGGGAGTCCTGGGTGCAGCGAGGTGAATGCTCAGTCCTGGGGGTGCCTCCTCCTGCCGTCCTGGGGTGTCACCATCTGTCCCCTCGCAGTGTGCAGGGGTGGTGGCAGGGCAGAGGGCCGAGCACCAGCCCTGTCCCAGCCGTGCTCGGTGGTGCTGGGCAGCCTCGGTGCCAGGGAGGGGCTGCAGGGCTGCAGTCCTTCCACAGCAGTGCCCTTTGGAGCTGTTCTTACCCTCAGGGGGCAGAGCCTGAGCCGCAGCCCCGTGCAGCGTCTCCATCCCTCACCCTCCGCCCGAGGAAGGCTCCGCTTCTGCTTTGCAGTGGCTCTGGGATCAGCCCGGTTTTGGAGCTGGAGCTGCCTCTCCAGAGGGACGTTCTGCTCTCGGCCTGTCCTCCTGCCCCATCCGTGTGGGAGCTTCCTCTGCTCCTCCTCCTCCTCCTCCTCCTAATCGCGGCCATCCTGCGGCGGGGCTGAGCTGGGCCTGCGGAGGAAGGAGGGGAAGGGGAAGGGTTGCTCTCAGCCAGCCCTGGCTGCATTTGGGGAAGAGGAAAAGCAGACTTGGTCTTCCTTCGTCATCTTTATTTACATGGTATAAAAACAGAGCAAGGGCTCAGGGCTGAGCTTTGTCCAGGCACTGCGGGGATCTCTCACCCCAATTCAACCCCCCAAAAAACCCCCACTGCCAGCAGAAGGGATGGGGAAGAGACAAGGCTCAGAGCTGGGGCAGCCCCAGGACATCCCCGCTCCCTTTTTTCCTTCCACTCTCCCTCTGAGCCGGAAGAGTGGGTTCCCTGCCCTGCCCCGGCAGAGCAGCCTGTCCTGGGGTGTTTTTGGGGGTCCCTGCCCCTCACCTCACCTCTCCTCCCGGTTTTCCTCGGTGGCCAGCGGGGCGGGCAGCGGCCGGCCGCCCTTGCCGGTGCCCAGCCCGGCCACCAGCTCGCTCTTCCTCAGCAGCGCCGCCCGCAGCTGCTCCCGCATCTCCTGGATCTTCTCCTCCAGCTCCCGCAGCTCGTTCTCACCGGCCGCTCTGGCCAGGGGCTGCGGCGGCCGCCCGTTCCCGGGGTGCCACGGAGGGGACCCCTCAGCCTCGGGGGGAGTTTTGTCCAGCTGGAAGCGCACCCGCCGCGCCTCCTTCCGCAGGGCGCCCCAGGGCTGCGCTGCCGCCGGTGCCGGCCTGGCCTGGGGCTCACACCTGTGTGGGGAGCGCTGAGTTGGGCTCTGGCTGCTCTGGGGTCCCTCTGCAGCCCCGCAGAGCTCTGCCTGGCCGCAGGGAGGAGGAGGAGGAGGAGGAGGAGAGCGAGGCAGGCTCCCAGTCCCAGCTGTACCTCTGCTCCAACTTCAGCTGCTGGCTCTTCCGCTCCTCGGTGCCCATATTCAGAGCCCGGTGGATTTTCTGTGGAGAACATGGCAAGAGTGAGTTGGGGAGGATGGTGTGGAGGTTAACAGGCCAGGGATTAATTGGAGGGTGATGGTCTGGAGGGGACGGTTCAGGGCTTAAACGGGGGCTGGAAAAGGGTAGAGAGATGCAATTTAAGAGGGAGCAGCAAGATGGGGTTAGGGGTCTTTGGGGTGCTGTGAGAGCCCCTTCCCCTGGGCGCACCTGGCTCGTGTGCAGCCAGTAGTTGAATTTCTTCTTGCGGCGGATGCGGGGCAGGACGAGGCGGTAGAAGACGTGCTCGCCCAGCGAGGTGAGGAGGGAGCCGCTCAGCCCGATGCACAGCAGCACAAACAGCCCCGAGAAGTGGTAGATGCCCATCTGCAGGGTCTGGGGGCGGCAGGGGGTGTGGGCTGGGCCGCGGGGGTCTCAGACCCCAGAGCCCCCCCGGCCGAGCCGCCGCCGCACCTCAGTGACCGCGAAGACGCGTTTGCCGCAGGGCACCATCTTGTACCACTTGTCGTGCAGGAGGTCGATGAACCCCGAGGATTTGTAGCGGCTGATGAACTCGGACACGTTGGAGGTCAGCGGCGAGTTCTGGGGAAGGCCGATGCCGTAGCCTGGCCCCGGTGAGGGTGGGGGAGAGAGGGGCAGTGCTGGGACGGGGGATGCAGCCCCCAGTGCCCCCCCAGCCCAGTCACACACAGATAGCAGAACCCCCTTCCCAGCACAGCCCCCCCAAACCTTCGATGGCGAAGGGTTTGCCCACAGTGAGCAGTTTGCAGTCGGAGTCGATGGAGACCTCATAATCCAGCAGTGACTTGTCCATGATGAAGGCGTTGAGCTTGGCAGGCTCTGTCCTGTACCAGCATGGGGGGCATGCTCAGGGAGGGGCTGCTCCCTCCTTGCCCAGCGTCCCCCCAGCCTCACACCCCTCCCAGTGGTGGGGGGTTCTTGTGCTCAGGGCTGGAGCAAAAGTTGCCCTGGGAGGGATAAAAGGTGGGGGGAACCCCTCATGCTCTCCCTGCCCCTCACTTGAGCATGGTGACGCCGTCGGGGGTGGTGGGGACGTTGTAGCGCCGCATGTACTCGTGCATCTCGGGGAAGCTCTTCTTGATGTACTCCTCAGCACTGCTCTCCCACACTGTGCCGAAGCGGAAGCCCTGTGAGGGGTGATGGAGCTGGAAGGAGGCACCAGAACATCAGCACCCCTGGCCCCAGGAATGTGTCCCCACTCCCTGGGGGTGTGTCCCCAGCCCTGAGTCCCAGGCAGGGTGTCTGGGCAGCCCCAGAGGTGCAGCAGCTCTTGGGGGTGTCTGAGAAAGAGCTTTCCCCAAGAGCAGCCTCAGCCCGAGCTCAGCCCACTTCCCCCTGCCCTGGAGCTGAGGCTGGAATTTAACACCAGTGGGATACACACACCAAACTTTCTGCAGGTCTCAAAGACCCCTCCACTCTTAGGAGCGGCCAAGATGCACGACTGGGGCTGGAGAGGAGGAAGGTGCAAAAGGAAGGACAGGAAGGACACCTTCTATCCCCCCCTCAGCCCCTTCCCTGGCCTTCAGCCCTCTCCCAGCCCATCTGAAGCAGCAGGACATTCACCCACCTTCGGGTCGTGGATGCCCGAGAGCTCCTCGAAGGTCTTGTCCCCCACCATGACAGCTGCCAGGTTGGCCGTGTAGCTGGAGAGCACCAGGAGGCAGAAGATGGCCCAGAGGTTCATGAGGAAGCGGCCGGTGCAGCACTTGGGCGTCTTGCTGGAGACGGTGCGCCCGAAGAGGATGGCGTAGCAGAGGTTGAGGGCTGAGGAGTAGGAGAAGATCTTCATGCGGTTGCGCCCGTGGGGAGTCATTCCATAGGGGCTCTTCCACTCGTAGAGGGTGAGGAAGAGTGCGGTCATGTGCAGCGCCACGAAGATGCCCACCCACATGGTCCAGTGCAGGGGCCACATGAAGGCCCCGATGGGCGACGCCGTGTCCTTGGTCCTCACCAGGATGCCCAGGCTGGTGGAGAAGAAGGGGCTGGTGAAGTCGATGACTTTGCTCCGCGCCGAGTTGATGCTGAAGGAGGTGACGGCCATGTGGGCCGTGCCACTGAGCAGGTCCCCCACCAGCCCCGTCCAGCGCCCGTTCTTCCAGGCCCCGTATTTCCCATCGCCCACGATGTAGAGCTCGAAATCAAAGGCCATGTCCTCGGCCAGCTTCTCCAGCAGGTCGATGCAGTACCCATAGCAGCATTTCTTGTACTCCCGTGGCACTGATCCGTTGCCACTGCCAATCCTCTCAAAGAGGGCGTCCAGCACGGCCGAGTCGTTTGTGCCGGGGTCCAGGCAGAGCTGCCCGGCCGGGCAGTTCCCCTCCTCATCCACCTCCCTGGTGAAGACAAAGGGGTGCTCCACCAACGTCACCACCCGCAGCCGCGTGCGGGCCCCCTCGGCCGCCTCGCCGGGGCTCCTGTGCTGCCGCTGGCTCTGCCACACCATCTCCTCCAGCTCCAGCTCGCCGTGGCTCCAGGTGCCCACTGTCACCCAGGTGGGGACCCCCTGCGAGTCCCTGCGCAGGCTCCAGATGCGGAACTGCTGCTCGGGCCTCACCAGTGCTGTGTTCTCCACGCGCACCAGCCCCGTCCGGCCGTGGAAGGACGTGTTGGCCAGGAAGCTGCCAAGGAAAGGGTTTCACTGCTCCAGTGTTCAGGGTCAGCTGGGACCAAGGGATCAGGCTGGGAGCAGGATGTGCCCGGCCCAGGCAGGGACAAGGTCAAGGAGGAGCAGCAGGATCCGGCCCCGCTGCTCTGCCCCGCAGCTCGCCGTGCTGCCAGGGCCAAGTTATTAATATTTATGGAGTGACCGTGCTCGGGCAGTGTTAAGGAGATCTGAAGTGACACGTCCCCCCTGTGCAGTGCTAGCCATGTCCTCAGGGTCTGAGCCCCATGGTGGTGGCTGCACACACTGGGGACAGCACTGCACTGAGCCCAGGGGTCTCCTGCTCGGCCCTTACCCCATCCCGGGTCTGGGCAGAACCCCCCCATGCACCCCAATACCACAGAGCCAGGATGGGGGAAAAGAGGAGCCCCCAGCACTCCCTTACCGAGCAAGGAAGAGCCCCGGGGACTCGCCGCCTGCCCGGTGCCTCTCGTTGCAGTTGCCGGTGGTCTGCAGCTGTGTGGGGTCAGGGAGGCCGCGGGCAGCGTGGGCAATGGCCTGGGATAGCAGTCCCACCACATCCTGCACGAAGAGCTCCAGCGGTGGCCGGCTCAGCTCCCCAAAGGCCAGCAGCCCCGGGGGCAGGCCCTCGGTCTGCAGCTCACTGCTGCTGAGCGGGAAGCCCAGCATCCAGTGGAGCTCCTGCGGGGGCAGCCCCAGCTCCTCGGCCGCCTGGAAGACGAGTCGAGCGCGGTGCAGGTCACAGCCCAGCATCAGCACTGGGCTGGAGAGGGTCCTGACACGGTCCCCGTGCTGCTGCAGGTAGCGGGTGGCCCTGGGCTCGTCCAGGTAGCCCAGGTCCAGGACAGTGCGGAGGAAGAGCTGGGAACGCTGGGCCCAGAGGTCCAGGAAGCTGTCGATGTCCCACGGGTGGCAGAGCACCAGGCTGGTCTCCTGCCAGTCGTTGGCCTGCAGGACGCTCACCAGCACATCCACCAGCGTCTCTGGGGAGCTCTGCCGGTCCATGTGGAAGTGGAAGGGGCTCTGCCAACACACAAAGGGTCGTGGCTGTGCCTCCACCCGCGGGAAGAGCCCGGAGGCAGCGCTAGACATGGACCCACCTGCCCTGAAGTCATCCCACACTCCCTGCCCATCCCCTGCCCCGTTCCTGGACACATCCAAGAGCCCTTCGGAGACAGAATGGAGTGGGGACTGGGGCTGAGGGCTGCAGAGCTTCCAGAGGAGCCAGGGAACTTTCCTTGGAGTGAAAGATGGAACTGGGTCTGGGATAGAGCTGGGCAGGGGGCCAGGAGAGAGCTGAGATGGGAGCTGGGATAGAGCCAGGGTAGGGCTGGAATGAGGGCCAAGAGGGGGCTGGAATAGAGCTGAGATGGGAGACAGAGAGCCAGGATGGGGCACAGGGGTAGAGGCAGGATGGAGGTGGGAATGAGGATGGGATGGGCCGGGGAGGGAGAGAAGACAGAGGGAGAACAGAGTCGGGATAGAGCTCGGAGATAGTCGGGACGCAGCAAGGATGAATGGTTGGGATTCGGAATTGGAGCTGGGATCGGAGCCGGGATCGGTGGTAGGTCCGACCCGGGAGCAGGACCTGCGGAACAGAGCCGGTCTGGAGTCCAGGCGGGGATCGAGATAGAGCTGGTACGGATCCGGGACGGGGATCAGGACAGGAGCACGGACGGAGCCGGCACGGGAGCAGGGACGGGAGCGGGGCCGGGAGATGCGTGCAGCGCCGGCTCTGCGGGTCTCACCTGCGCTCGGAAAGGCAGCGGCCAGCGGGTGTCCAGGATGCTGACGAAGGGGACCTGGAGGGCGGCGGCGAGGAAGTCGAGCTGGAGCAGCTCCCGGCGGGATCGGGGCAGCGCCAGGACGGCGGCCACGCCGCGCCCCGCCAGCGCCCCGCACAGCCACCGCGCCAGCGAGCCGGGGTCCCGCGCCGCCGGGCCGCCCCGCACCACCTCCAGGCTGAGGTTGTGGGGCAGCGTCGCCTCCCCGGGGCTCCCCCCGGGGCCGGGACCGGTACCGGCGGCTCGGGCCAGCGCGGCGCGGAGCCGGGCGCGGGCGGGCGCGGGCGGCAGCAGCGCTGCGAGGCGCACGGTGCTCGGTCCGGGGCTGGGGCTGAGGCCGGGGCCGGTGGGGGCCGGGACGCGGCAGGGATGCGGGTGTCCCCCCGCCGCCCCCAGAGCCGCCGCCAGCAGCCAGAGCGCCCGCAGCCCCGCCATGCACCCCGCACCGGCCCCGCCGCTCTGCGCTCCGCCGGGGACGGCTCCGGCTGCGGGCAGGGAGCTCCGGAGGGCCGGGTCCCGCGGGGACCCCCCCTCCCCGGGTAGTGCCGAGGCCCCGCAGCCCCCGGTGCGCGGCGGGTCACGCCGGACCCGGCCCACGCAGCGCCGGACCCGCCCGCAGCCGCCCCGTCCACGCCCACGCCGAGCGCGGGTCCCCCCCTCCCCGCACCCACCCGCGCGGTGCTGCCACCCTGGGGTCCCCTGGCCCGCTGAGCCCAGGCTGGTCCCGGCTACCTCTGGATCACGGGGATCTTCCTCCTCTTCCTCCTCTTCATCCGCCTCCTCCGGGCCCCCCCACCCCCACGACGAAAAGCCCCTCGGGTGGGTGCCGAGCCGTGGACCGCCGCCTCCATGCCGGTAAAACTCCCACCCCGACCCCTCTGTCCCTCCTCGATCTCCTTCTCCAATATCGGGGGGTCCCGAGGCCGAGTGGTTCCAGGGCTGAGCGATTCCTTCTGCTGCAGGGGGAAGGGGAGAAGGGCAGCAGCGGCACAGCCTTCCTCTGCTGAGGGAGAGGATGTGGGGTCACCCTCCTCATCCTCAGCAGGGAAACTGAGGCTCAACCCAGCCCAAGGGCCCCCACCACCAGCACACAAACACCAGCAACCGGGGCCAGGGCCACGCTAAATTAATAAGGAAAAATGAAGCATGGAGCCAAAATCCATCTGGCAAAAACTATCGATTCACGTAATATCGATAAATGTAATGAGTCACAGCTACTGAATTCTCCTGCGGAGCCGGACCTGCAGGGAGAGCAGCTCCAATCCTGCCAGAGCACGGGGGGTCATGGGGGGCTGCACTGACCACGGGGTTCCTGGCAGCTCCTCCTCGCAGGGGAAAACACAGCACAGCCCCACTGTCCACACAGGAGGGGCAGCAGGGTCTTGGAATGATAAAACCCTCTCAAACAGCAGGCACAGCACAGGGGGGCTCTCTGGGAGACCCCATCCTCCCTTCTGCTCTAAGGGCAGCACCCCAACAGGAACCCCAACTGGGGGCACTGGGGACGTCTGGGATGACTGGGAGGGAGCAGTGGGGTCTGGGCTTGGCAGGGGGCTGCAGCCCTGGGGGTCTCAGAGGGCTCCCTGCAGCAGGGATGTGCCCCCACCACCGCCCCTGGCTCTGGGGGACTGTCCCTGCTGCAGCCCATGAATGTTGATCCAAAACGTTGGGAGGAAGAGGAGGAGCAGGAGAGAAAGGGAAAGGAACAGCTCCAGTGATTAAGCTAAAAGCATCTTCTCGGGAACTGGCGGGAGCTGGGGATGCTCAGGTTTTAAAATGCACTTTAAATCATCTGCACTTGGTGTATTGAACGGGGAGGGGGGGGATGACACAGAGGGATGTCCAGGGGACACCTCAGCACCCTGTAGGGACAGGGAAGGACCCTCGGGGCGAAGGCAACTGGGCAGTTTGGGGATAAGGAAGCACTTTCCCACTCCCTGTGGGCAGTCCAGGGATGCAGTGATAGGTAGTCAAGGTCTGTGGCCATGCAAGGGTTGTTAAAGAAACCAACTCGGGCATCTTTCACTATAAAAACCAAATCTTTTATGTAAAAAATAAACCTAAACAAAACCCACAACCCCCGCTGCCATGCTGTGACAATACAAAAGGCCGAGTCCCCAAACACCGTGAAAACAGAGTCGTTGGATCCAAATATATATAAACTGTTGACTGACGAGATTGGAAATAGCACCTTGCTGGTCCCCCTGCCCCTCCCAAGAGCGACCCTGTGCCCCACCTGTGCTCCAAGTCCAGGGATTCCAACCTGCTAGACAGAGCAGGAGCCCCATCCTCAGCCCTGGTGGCCAGGGACCCCCCAAAGTGTCGCAGCAGCCCCCACTGCACCCCCGGAGCAGGAGCCACTCAGCCCCTGTGCAGAGCGTGGGGTCCGGTGGCACTGAGCAGCAATCCCCAGGACAGGGTGGGCAGAAGGGGGTCTCCAAAATCCAATCTCAAACCGGTATTGAGAGAAAAAAACACTTTTCTGTCTGCACTGCAGGGTCAAGTAACGAAAAGAAACAAAAAAAAAGGGGCAGGGGAAGAAACGGGGAACGAGCAGGAGCTGCATCCTGAGCCCTCCCAGGAGCCGGCGACGCTCCTCCTGCAGCGGCCCCGACTCGGAGTGTGCTGTCCCTGCGCTGTCCCCTCGCGGTCCCCGCGCCGGTCTCAGTCCCGTGTCACGGAGCAGGCGGAGGCGGCGGCGTGTGCCGGGGCAGGGGAAGGTGAGCCGGGCGCTGCAGCCGGCTGGGCGGTGCCCGAGGGCGGGCGGGTCTTCCCCAGGAGCCGGACAGGGAGAGGCGGAGGGGTGCGAGGGCGGGGGGAGCCTCTTCACTTGGCTGGTTTGGTGATGATGCGAGTGGAGAAGTCAAAGAGGTCCTTGTTGATTTTCCGGAGGTTGCTCACCTCCTCCTCCAGCTCGCTCACCTGGATCGTCAGGTGCTCCTGGTCTCCCACCAGGTTCTGTGACACGGAAACACGACAGACAAGTGTCAGGGCCCAGCTCTGACAGGCACAGGCTGCTGCTCCCTCCCCAGCAGTAAACACCAAACCCTTTGGTCCCTCCCTCCTCTTTCTCCTCAAAGTGCAGCCCCTCCTGCCCATATCACCAGCAGATTTCAGAGCTCTTTTCCCCTGTTCCCATGTCCCAACTTGCTCATGAGTCAGACAAGGATCCCCCTCAAGGGGTCAGTACCCAATTCCCAGCCTGGGAGCAGCTCTCACCTTTTCCCTCGTGGAGTACATCTGCGAGTACATCCTCTCTGCCTTCTCCAGGTAGCTCTGCCCAGGCTCCTGCAGGGACCAGAATGGAGGGGTTGGTAGAGCAGACACAGACCCTCTCCCCATGCCCCTGGACTGGGTGATCCATCCTGCTGTCCCCTCTGTCAGGCAAACAGCCCCTTGGCCTGCTGCCACCAAGCCAACAGGGAGCTCATCCATCAGCTCTGGCAGGACTGTCACTGTCACTCGCCCAGAAGCAGACACTGGCAGAGGGGAGCAGCTCTGGGACCACTGGCAGAGAGGCTGGGATGGGCAGGACACTGATGGTGTGTGACCCTCCCTGCCTGGGGACAGCCATGCCAGGACCAAGGAAACGGTGGGACAGCAGAGCCAGCCCATCACGCTGCAGCACGGGGCTGGGAGGACAAATGACTGCAGCAGCCAGGATGGGGAGGAAGCTGGAGCAGAACGCGTTTCACCAGCTGGAGGAGAAGCTTTGCTCCAGCACAACCCCTCCCTGACGTGTGTGTCCCCTCCCCAGCTGCCCACTGCCCCCAGCACCTGCTGGTGCAGCCCCAGGCGCAGCGTCACCCCCTCGGCGCCCGGCTCGTCGCTGCTCTCGGTGCCGTGCAGGTGCCTGCTGAACTTGGGCAGGGGCACGCTGGGCTTCCCGTCGGGGTTGAACATGTTGGCAGGCGCCAGCACGATGAAGGCGTTTGTCACCGGACCTGTGGGGGGACAGAGGGGACAGCTCAGGCTGGACCCTGGCACAGGCAGTGGCCAGGATTCTCCACCCGCCCCAGCAGCTCTCCCTGCCCGCTGCTGCAGCTCTCCCCAGCCTCCCCCACCCCGAGCTGCCATCCATCAGCAGCTCCGTGCTGCCACGATCCATGGCAGAGCTGATGAGCGCGTTAATTACTGCACTGCATTAATTACTGCGCTTACCCACGGCTGCTGCCGCCCCCTCCCAGCTCCTGCTCGCTGTGAGCTCCCACCGCTGTCCCCCACGCCCTGTCAGGCACAGCAGCCCCCAGCCCCCCTCCAGCAGGCAGAGCAGCTCGGCCACCACTGCCACAGCCCAGCCATCCACTTCCCCTGGCCAAAGGCAAAGTGAAGATGGTCCACATGCCCCAAAAAGGGGCTGCCAGTGCTGTGGAGAAGGGTGCAGGGTGAGGGAGGGGACATGGCGGGGCCTAGGGAGGCTCAGCGCTGCTGGAGGATTTTGGTCTTTGCAGAGCAGCCAGACACAGCAGCTCTGACATGGATGAGGGCTCTGCCATCAGAGCCTGCTCCTAAATCTGATGCTCCCAGGATTCAAGGCTGGGTCCCACCAGCAGAGCAGCAGCTCTGCTGAGTGCCTGGCCCCAGAGCTGTTCCTGGCCAACTCTGATGGCTTCAGTCCCTCCTTGAAGACCAGATGATTGTGCTCCTGAAGAAGTGCCCATCAGTGAGACTCCCACTGCACTGGCAGCTCACGGAGCAGCTCAAGAGGAGAAAATTGAAGGAGTGAACCCAGAGCTCCCCAAACCTGGTCACCACCTGGACACAGCCCCCACAGCCACTCTGGGGCCCCAGTGCAGATGCAGGTCCTGTACCAGATCACCTTGCCCCAAGGCCTGGGGCAGCAGGCAGTGGGTGACCCTGGGCCAGCCTGGGTGTGGAGACCAGGCTCAGCTGGGGGGAAACAACTCAGCTTCCAAGAGAGAGCTGCCAGCAGCACACAGCAGCCAGAGCATCCCGGGATGGCCTTGCAAGGGGAGCCCTCGGGGATAGTCTGTGCCATGCTGTGTTTGCAGAGACAAGGATGGAGCTCCTGTGACAGGATGGGAATTGAGGCCTGGAGGGATTTGGGGGCAGCACTGGCTCCCAGTCTCATCCCACAGGTCTCCTGCTTCACCCTGGGGTGGTGCCAGCCACACAGAGTGACCAAGAGCAGCCCTGCCTCACCAGCACTGCCACAGCTCCTTACCCAGGAGCAGCAGCCTGACTTCCCAAAGTCCACCCGCTCTGCCCCTGCCGAGGACAAGCCACCCTTGGTGACACAGCCCCCTGCACCCTGCCTGCTTGCCTGGCCCTGAGCCACACTCCAGCTCCTTGGATTTATTTGCAGCAGTGCTGAGGGGAGGGCAGGGGGTCCTGTGTGCCCCCAGCCACCCCTGAGCCTGGCAGAGGGACCGCGCTGTGCTGAGGACACCGGGCCAGAGGCTGCTGTCACATCA